AATAATAATAAAAGAAATTCAAGTAGCAATATAAGTTATTTTAATTTATTTTACCTTTTTATAAAGAACCTTTATCCGGTCTCATCTACGCGCTTGAAGTGAAGTTTTTCCCACTAATTTCTTCTTTAGATAAGATTCAATCAGGTCGTTGAATATTACGAATAATAATGACAAAATTGAAACGTCATTTCRCCAATCGATATCACCAGTAGTATTTTAATTAATTTTTGCTTTAATGAGAATCACAATCACTTCACACGTTGTCGAAGAAGACGTTTTCTCTTCATTTCGTTGCAGGTTTTGAAGGAAAACATTTTTAGTTTCTGGTTTGAAAAAGTCAGAGGAATCCAATTGCGCATGCGCTATTTAAAGGTCGCTCAAGAATTGAAACATTTTCAGCGGTTTTCGATGTCTGCAAACTCTGGCATTTCAACAGCCTCTTTGGGAAATTGGATAAATACCGACTGATTATTTTTAATTGACGGCAGCGAAAAAACAAATTTCATGATTATTTATAGCGGAGCACCATACTAAGAAAAATTGGTAACCCATGGAGTTGATTTTTGATGGCTTGACTACTACGTCACTTCGGTACGTACGCATATCCGTGTACACAACACTGGGATCCCGCTCGATGCCAAAGCAAACTACTTGCAAACCCGGCGCTCATGCACAGAAGAAAAAAACACMTCGCTTTGGGACAAATTTAAGCCCAGGAACAACAACAACAAAAAAAGTACTTAGTCAAAGATGCATCTAGAAGTATTCTTGAAGGATTCAGGTATGGTTTTTTTTTAGCAAACAATTAATTGTATATTTCTACTTTTCATGAAAAGCAGTTTTGTTCGACAAATTGGAAAATCAAAGATTTTTTCTCAAAAGTTTTAATATTTCTATAGGTAATTTATTTTAAGGCTGGACAAAATATAAAAAGGATTATATATTACAAAAAAATATTCACCCTTTATCTAGCTAATGAATCTTCAACAATTTTTTTATTTTAACCAACTATCGTATGTTTTTACGTACAAGAAAAGTCAGTTTCGTTCGCCTCATATCAGCAAACGAAAGAAGACTTTCCTTCAATAGTTTTATTATTTCCATAGTTGAATGTACTCAGTACTCAATCAGGGTGAATTCGTTTATTTATGATTGACGCTGTCATATTTTAGATGGACAGGGTCATACGACCGACCATGAGGGTTTTTTAAATCTATAAAACTCTTAACTATCTTTTCGTCATAATAACATGTGTAATAGGTAAATTACGAGCCTTGTATGAAACGACTGAAGATGAGTGCCAATGGGCCTTTCACAACTTCAAGTCGCGCAAAAAATGAGCCAGCCCAACTAGAAACCGTGGACAGYTGTTTCGGCCTGTATTGGGCCTCGTCAGCACRGTGTATCTAGTGAGCTGGCAATCCTACGAAAAAGTAGTAATAGATAGATGAGGCAGTTACCCTGGGTGTCAGAGGCCCCCACACGGCCTCTGGCACCCAGGTTATGAGGCAGTAAGCCTCATCTATCTTTTCGTCAGCCATTTTGCATGTGCTTGGTTTGGGTTCGTTGTTTCATGGCACGAACGCTCGAAATACTTACAAACGCATTACACAAATTGTATTATTCGCGGCCAATCCACATTAAAAGATGTTACTGAGCGATTTTTTTGGAACGGATTGAGTCGCGAAAAAAAAAAAAAACAAACCATGAATGCCATGTATGCCTTGTATACGAATGCCAAAACTATCAGTGTTGAAAAAAAGCTATACAATGTTAAATCTTACACCAAACTGCATATRCTCTTTGCATACTACTGAACAACAAAAATACCGTGAGACTGAAGAACAAACCTCTAATCAGGATCCGGATGCGACTATACTTGTGACCAGGAAAGACGCCATGTTGGATACAACAGTGCACGAAACAGTGGTATTAATTTCATGAACAGAAAGGTGAACCTTATGTTTCTTTTCATTGTAGTTCTATGGATATTCTTATTTAATAAATACACGATTCAAACTCCTGTATTTCTAGTGCAAAATAATATGATGTCGATTTTTTATGCAACTATCTTGTGGGTTAATTTCTTTGTCACGTTGTTGATGTGTTCAACACAAGCTACCGTGAATAGCTTAGATCAATGTGAYTTTTTTGAAAAAGCTGCCCAGTTATCTGTAATTGTACATGACAATAATAATAGTTAATATATTATTATAGAGTGCACGCACTAAAACCGTGAACATTAAATAGTACTAATTAGTACTATTTCATACAGAATCCTTTGTTTTCTATTGGTTAATTATCACTATTTAGTGCTAAAAATTAGTATTTGTTTCACGGATTTAGTGTGAGCACTCTAATATTAAATCATTTTCAATAAAGAGGTCTAATTTAATGCGAGCTGTTTATAAAAATCTGAACCACAGGGTAAATCATTGTAAGTTCAACCGGTCTGGGGATATGCAGTTAAACCCTGGTCCTATAGTTGATCCGAGTGAAACAAACTAGGCATTTTATAGTCAAGACAATGTGGCATTGTTTGGGTTGAATGCAGGTACGCAGTGACGTGTGTGGCTATGTCACTTCCCTCATATACAACTCACGGAAAAGGTATTACATCCTCAATGGACTTGATCAATATTATGAACATTGGTAATGAGTCGGTAATGAATTGTATTCTGGTTTATCTAGACTATCACGACAATCCTATCTATCGTTAACAGAAATACCTGAAATGATAACAGTCACTTCATATATCAGCTTCAATACAGTCCAAGCTTTACTGGTACTATACATGGTACTTGTATGCCATTAGATAATGCTATTCAGGCTTTGCTAAGACAAAACTATAATTCCTTTCTTTTAGCTATTCTTATTAATACTGCAGGTATTTATTGTAATTCAGATGATAAGTTTAAAACATTTGATTCTCATGCTAGAGACTCATTTGGTATGGCCAATTCCCGAGGAACTTGTTTTATTTTTGAGGTAAAGACCTTAATGAGCTAATAAACTATTTTCAACAAATGCTCTATCACTAAAATCCAAGTGCTTTATTTGAACTCAAAGGTGTACATATCACTGAAATACAATGTAATACGACAGACTGATTGACTGTCACCCATGATGTAAGTCATAATGCAGATGCTGAAATAACCAATGATATTCCCTTGATATGCTGTTGTGCCATACCTTTTTTATTGCATTTGTTTTTCCATTATCAAATCTTGTGGGTATTGGAATTCAAAAACTCTAGATGCAATTATTGACCATGGAAACATGTTTTACAGAGAAAAACTCAATACCGATAACCAGCAACTGGACATGACTATCAGTGATTTTCCAAGTACACTTCAAATGTATGATACCAAGGGCGGATCCAGGGAGAGGGTCAGGGGGGTCGCGACCCCCCTGTCATTCCTGAGGTCAAATGGGCTTCCTGTGGTAAAACTGCGACTGAGATTCCTTTGCCCACAAAATTTACCCGTGAGACCCACCTTAAAAAAACCCTGGATCCGCCCTTGGATACAGATATCAACACAGTACCTGTCAAGATATTGAATGATACACGAGCGAACATGATTTTCCTAAGTACTTTATTCAATATTCACATGTCACTTCTGGCTACTACTATCTAGAAAGTCCTGAAGGGTGGTTTAATAACCCCATTTACCAGCCCAGAAATTATCCAGATGCCAGTTCAAAGCCATAGTAATCTCAGGCTACAATTTCTACTCAGATCTCAATCTTAATCCCATTCCCATTTTTAATTTGTTTGATTTTTGTTTATGAACCCCAGTTCCACTGCATGAAATCATATTTTCCCAGCCCAAAAKAAGACAAATTTCAGCTCCCATTTTGCCCATTCACCCGTTCAAGACCCTCTCAACCAAGATACTGACTTAACAGGTGCCTGCCTGCTTTTGTAAAGGACAACAATTTATGCGCAGCAAGACCAGAAATCAATTTCATAAATTTCATTGCTGAATACCGTTTGCTAATTGATCCACACTGCATGTAAACGTTTCCGGCTACGACATTATTGCTTCCCTTTTCTTTTAGCAAAATTTTAAGCAATAGGTGAGAATAGGTGACCATATCATAGGTCTCATGTTTCTTTCTTCTGTTCTCTCAGCGCACGGGCAGCCCAGTACACGCCGCTAAGCGTCTATAGTATTAGAGTGATTTTCATAAAACCGTGAAATACACACTAGCCTAATACAAATTAGTAGACCCTAATTCCATTGTGTTCTTTTGTTCTCATTTCACTATTACACACTAACTAATGGTATTTGTT